TTCTTCGGATGCATATCTGAAGCTTATGCTCTAATAAATTTGTTAGTCTCTAAGGTGCCACAAGTACTCCTGTTCCTTTTGCGGATACAGACTAACGCGGCTGCTACTCTGAAACCTGTAATTAAACTTAAAAACCTAAATTGTGTCTTTAATTGAACATAGGATTGACATTCAGTAACAAGGTATTTCTGCTCCTGAGGATGTGACATCGCCCCCTGGTTGGTTGGGTTTTTTATTTTTTCCCCCCCTCCTATTCTGCACCCAGAGACTTTCAACTGGTCTGCCTCTTATTGAGGTCCAGAATGAGATAAGTAAATCTGAATCCAGTTACCAGATTTGCATGACTACTTGAAGATGAAAACTGATAAGGGTATGGCTACTTTTTACAAAGTCAACTTAATCTCTGAACAGGCTGGGTTGAACTTTTGCTCAGCCCCAGAATTCTGGTGAAGAAAAAATACTCCATCTGTAATCAGTATCTTCAGTCGTTTTCATGAAAACAGTATAGCCCTTAATGTTCCTGCTAACTTTCACTGATCCCCATGATGGATTTACGGTACTGCACGTGCATTATGTTACTTAAAATTGTGTCTTGATCATTTGGAGTAATAAGTGAATTTCTAATATGGGAATGTAAATCCAATTAAAAATACAGTAAACCGTACTGTGAAGTGTTTTATTATTGCTATACAGTAGTTTCTTTGAAGAGAACTCTGCCCCCTGCTGGAAGCACTGGCACCTGAAGAAAGAGTGGTCACCTGGAAAAGAGGGGCAGTGAGTTGAGACCACTGAACGGACTGGTTTTTTGTTGTGCAGTTTAAAAAGACCAGGCATCTATTTTTGAATTGTTACTGCATTAGCAAGGGACTAGCTGCACAAGACTCCTTGCTTCCGATGAGTTTTGACAGTGTAACAATTATTATTGCAGTGTAACAATTTCTTTAAAGAAAAAGGAAAAAAAAGGCTTTGTTTTAACTTAGTAACTTAGTAAATGCAGTGGCATTAAATAGTAAGAAAATACTGTCATATTGCTAGAACTAATTTGTGGATACTTTTCATCTTTAAGCTAAAGATTTAAAATTCCTAGAATTTAGATTTAAGACGCTTGCAAACACATTCAGCATTCTCTTTAGTAGTCTAGTTAGGGTACATCTATACTGCACACTATTGGCAGTGGTGTGCGGTGTATGCATAGCCACATGCATCTGTGAAAAGCAAGCTGTGTCTATACTGCAGAGTGTAGCTACACAAATCAGTGAAAGGCTTTGGTGCTGCCTTCCCCCTGCCCGGAGCCTTTCAAAGCAGGAGTACGCTCTGGTAGTGGAGAGGCAGCAGGACACTACACAGCTAAAAATAGCAGTGTAGACCAGGAAAGCACTGCTTGGACACATAGAGAACTGTGTAGAATACATACCCACCGGGTTCAGGCATGGCTTTACTTCCAAAAACAGTGCTTCACCAGCTGCTATTTATACTTGTGCTGGGGGGCGGGGGTGTAGCACATGTCCTCTACATACCACCTTAAGGAGAGTGCAGTGTAGATGTATTAATGGTCTTTTATTCATGCATTTACAGTAGCTCAAATATTTTCTAATGTCATTCTTCTAGAAATATCAGTTAATTAGCATATCTGGTACCTATTTTGGAAAATAAAGCTTTAACTAACTTTCTCGGAAGTCCAGTGCACTTATGACTTATGGTTGTATATCCTTGTGTGTTTCTTAATTGCCTGTCTCTTGGCTTTGTAGCTTGCACCATTAGCAGTTAGCAAAATCAGACATGCTAAGTAAAGTATTGGGAACAGGAATGTTAACATTTTAAAGGAAAATGAGAATTTTTTTCCCCATAATTTTTGTTGGATAAATGACCATGTCAAACAAATACAACTACTTATAGAAGGTCCCTGATCAGGGTCAGGTGATGCATCAAACAATTGTTGTATATGGATCAGTTGATATTCTGCATATTATTCTGTTTAATATATAGGTGTTTTTACAGAATTGTTGCTACTTGAGTTAACAGGAATGTAATGCCCATTAAGAACCATAGGGGACAAATCTGTAACAGAGTAATCTTATTTTAAAGCACAAGAACCAAACTTTGTCACTCAGTTTACTGTTTGCTAATGAAGTAACTGTGTTAATGGACAGCTCTCTGCTTTGTCCCATAACCTTTGGAAACATTCAGTTTCTAATTTTTCCTTTTTTAAATTACGAACCGGAAGAACTAAGTTATCACTCTGTTTTTGTTTTTGTTTTTTTGTTTTAAATTCTGGCAGACTGACTGTTTAACTAGCATCCTCTTCCTTTGTCACTGCAGGCTGTACTTAACAGTAAATCTGTACATTAATCTGTGTACTCCTGGCCATTACCTCGGAATCTCAGTAGTAAGTGGTAATGTGACCCAATGACTAAAAAATCAAGCCTCTCTGTTACCTAAAAAGCTCTGTTGGCCATGGAGTGTTCAGACTAGAGTTCCCCCATCATGTGCGTCTCACATAAACTTAATTATCCTGACAGGGTTATAGTGATAGAACTTATAAAATATTAGTTTTATATTACAGACTGAATTGCATCAGGATTTCTAAGAGGAAATATTAAGTGGTGGACTAGGAGACCTTTTGAGAAACCAAATGATTAGGTTTTTATTAGCAAATACCTCCAAGTAGCAGATCACAAACAGTATATTGAGGAATGTGTGTTTTGGTCTCATGTTGAAGATTTTTGAGTGAAAAATACAAGTGGGGAGAGGAGGAAGGAGTAAGACAGTAGGAAGCCAAGTTTTATAGTAACAACCAAGTAAACGCTGAAAGAGCAGCCGTTCAATTTTGCAGATTTGCTGTTAGAAACACTCTGTAGCAGTACCTGAAGAATAGAATGTCCTGCATAAGCATGACCTAGTGATGCTAGTGTAAGAGACTAAAATTAAACTAATTATACAAAGAGCATAGCTAGATACTAAGTAAAAAATAAAGAAAATATTTGATCCTCTAATCCCTTGTCAGTTTTAGTAATCTACAGTGTAACTTGTAATAGGAGAATATTAAAATGTTTCAGACAGATGAAATTTGAGTTGCATATCTCTTTAGTCATAATACTTACTGTCATGTCCCTTTCAGATGTCCTTCATCTATTTCATGACATCTGTGGTATAGCTTTCATTGTGTGTGTGTGGGTGGGGGGGGGACGACGACGACGACGACCTTCCATCTGAGGACCTCAACTTTGTAAATCAGTCCTCTTGGCAGTCCATCAGAGCTTCTGGGCAAGATGCATTTGTTTTGACAATTAACTTTTTTTTTTTAATTATTTTTAAAACATTTAGCTGCTACTATAATGGGCACTGTAGGAAACAAGTGAAATAAACTCATCAATCCCATGTCAGGGATTTATTTAATCTTGCAGGAATTCAATGACAGTTTAAATTTGGTGGTGTTGACAGAGAAAACGTCGTGAAAATGGGCTTTAGTCTTCTGGTTAGTTAGGAGGATGTTGCTATGTGCTAGTGCAAATGGATACACAAATTTCCTGGACTTGTGGATTGAGACTTGTGTTAAATTATACTTAGTGTAGCTGTTTAATTAAAACCGCACCCAAAATGTGTGGGGACTTATTTTTAAAACAATGCAGATGATCAGCTGACTGCCAACTTCATTCTACCCTGTGTTCCATTGATGTGTGTACACCGCTCCTTTTTAACACTAATACGAGAATACAGTGCTTAGTGTGAATGTTTCTGCTTAGGAGTGGACAAATAGGTACATATAACTGAGATGACTCTAACTACAGACAACTGTTTGTTAGTTGACATTTGTTTAAATGTCTCAGAATTGATTTTGTGTGGATTAACAAATCGCTTGTGCTGACACTGGCGATTAATCAGTTAGTGACAAGGGACTAACTGAAAACGTTAGCTAAAAGGCTTTTGTTTAAATATTTGGATACTGTGCGTACCCTGAACTCATCATTAGAGACTTCCTTGAAGATTTAAAGCTTTATACATCATGCTGATGCTAACATATTTAGTAGTGCTATTTCTTTCACTTTTAGTGTGACCAAAAGCAGCTTTGATTAACTTCCACATTCTTCATAAACATGATATAAGAATATCCTATGTTTTGTAGATTAATGTGTTGAAATTAAACTTCCGTAAATCTGAATTTACTTTTGTTGAAGGCAGACAATAGTTTTGTTTAGTGTTGAATGTCCTTGAAATATTTCTAAACCATTTCAGATAATAGCAGTCATTTTAATTTTTCTCTTTTAGTTAACTTATCTTTTTTCTCTCGTCAGTCTTCATGAAGAAATCATTGATTTCTACAAGTACATGTCTCCCAGACCGGAAGAAGAAAGAATGCGAATGGAAGTGGTGAACAGAATAGAAAACGTTATTAAGGAGCTCTGGCCGAATGCAGATGTGAGTAGGGCTTGGCATGCTCTAACAAAAAGCTTTGTTTCTGCTTGTGTCTTCGTAAACAGTTTTTTTTTGTTTTGTTTTTTTTGTTACACTACCACTTTCCCCCGTTATTCCATATATAACTTTATGCTCAAATTGTGATATAGAAGATATTAACTATTTCTATGGCATCATAGTTGAGCTTGGTACTTTAGACATGTACAGTAACTCCTCACTTAACATTGTCCCGGTTAATATTGTTATGTTGCTGATCTATTAGGGAACAAGCTCGTTTAAAGTTGTGCAATACTCACTTATAACTTCGTTTGGCAGCTGCCTGCTTTGTCCACTGCTTGCAGGATTCTCTGGAAGAGCAGCCCCTCCTTGTGGGGGTTAGAATCAGGGGTGGCCAGCAGTCTCTCCCCCCCGCCCCCATCAGCTCCCCTAAATTCCCTGTAAGGTGGCTTGGCAGCTGCCCAGCAGCAGTTCAGCTGTCCTCCCCCCCCCCCCCTCCTCCCCCCCCCCCTCCTCCCCTGCTGCTCCTGACCTGCCCTCTCCCTTGGAGCTGCTCTCGGGAGCTTGCTGGGGGTGTGTGTGTGTGTGCTGATATCAGGATGTCCCCCTGCTCCTGCCCTGTGGTCCCCTCCCCCCCGCCCCCCTCCCCGCTCTGTACCCCCTCTCCACAAAGCTGAGGAGAGGGACAGAGAGGAGGGAGCTGGCTGGAAGCTTTTGCTTCCTGTCTGAACTGGCTGATCTGCTTAAAAGGGCAATGTACTTGAAGTGGTGTCAGTGTATTTAAAGGGGCAATGCACGTCTCTCTCACTCATGCATCTACCCCCCAGCACTTTGGAAAGTCAGCACCTGTGCAGCCGTGTGTGTGCTATCAGGAGGAGGGAGTGGTGTGCTCCAGCTGGATAGCATGGGCTCATCATCATTTCAGTTTTTGCAGGGAAGGGTTTGCAGCTACTGCCCTGCATTGGTTGTGTTTCCTCTCTCCTGTCTCAGTCCATGCTGCCTTGCAGAGTGTGAGGCTACATTAACAGCAGCCTATTAACCCTTGAGGGCTCAGCTGAGTGCTGATGGTTCATCATTTAGCAGCAAGGCATTCCTTGGGAAATATTCCACTCTCTTACTCCACCACCTCAACCAAGCTTCACAATCATTCATTGCTGTATACAATATTAAACTGTTTGTTTAAAATTGTTTATATACATATACAGTATAAGTTTTAATGTCTTTTGTCTGGCAAAAAAAAATTTCCCTGGAACCTAACCCCCCCCCCCCCCATTTACATTAATTCTTATGGGGAAATTGGATTTGCTTAACATGGTTTTGCTTTTTCAGGAACATAATTACAACGTTAAGTGAGGAGTTACTGTATATGAACAAATGCCCTGGTTAGGGAAACTAAATTAGATATACTACCAACAAAGGAAGGGTATGAGATCTAACCAGAATTATATTTGGGTGTTTGTTACCACGCATCTCATTAGTTCTTAACTTTTTTTTTTTAATGTTACTTAAGAGTGTGAGGTAAGGCAGAAGTGTAGGAGAACATGACTGGTGGGGGAGGCCTACCTGATTGCATTGAGGTGGCTTGTCCTGCTGGAAAAGAGACGCTTATGTGCATACAGGTATAAGAGATAGTGTAGGAAGGAACCATGACTTAGATCAGGGTTTCTCAGGACAATTTTTTTTGGTGGCCTCAAAGTGCAACCACCAACTCTTGCTGGCCGCTGTCACACTTTTCACTCAAATACTTACTTGCTTTAGGAAAAACAAATAAATATGCACATATACATGTCCAAAATCATTGTAATTTATTTATTGCTAGCTTGTAAGTCCTGTTGTTAAAAGTGATATTAACAAACATACAAATATCACTTTTTACAGCATACTTACTCAGCCCCAGCAAAGCTGGGGACAAATTAAGCCCTGGATTCAGGGGTTGGGGGAGACAGCAGGAGCCAGGGGTGATTTGGGTCGGGGGAGACAGTCGGGGGTCAGAGCCTGATGCCCCGTAGCCAGAGCCCAGAGTCCCATGGCTGGGGGATGGAGCCCAAAACTGCATGGCCATAGCCTGGGGCCTGCCATTGCGCAGTCAGAGCCCAGGGCCGGAGCCTGAAGCCCCATGGCCAGAGCCTGCTGCGCCACCCCATGGGTGACGCCCAAAGCCTGAGCCCCACCACCCCTGGGAAGGTGGGGAACTTACCAGCTGCCTGCTCCTCCAGCGTTGTGCCCCACCTGTCTCCAGAAGGGGCAGGGCCCGACCCCTGCTTGCAGCCCTAGCAGCCAACACCAAGGCAGTGCCTCCAGGAGCAACATTGGTGTAGATGATGACGATATGCTGTAGCTCATGACTCAGATTATTGTTGTAGTTCTCATCTTGTAAAATCCTTGCATGTGCTTTCAAATTTAAACTGTTCACTCTGTTTTTTAATTTTAAATAAAGCATTACTACAATAAATTAACTCCATAGAATGTAATTTAGAAATACAATATCGTTTCACTTGCCCCAAGGATATTAGTTGCTTGGTGTTTTACTGGGGGAAGCTTGAGTGGTGCCTGGTCTCTGTCCATGGCTCTAGCCAGTGCTATTCACATTACCTTCACATGTAAGTTTTTTTTATTTTTGTTTTTAAAACCCTATAAATTTCAGATGTGACAAATCTAGGTACAGTATAACTTGAATTTGAAATTAACTAAGATTAAGTGTTCTTGTATACTTTGACACCAAAACACATAACCAATAAGGTGTAAACAGTGTGAACAAGCATGTTGAAACCATTTATGAGCACAAACAATAAAATAAAATAGCCTGTCCCCATGAATTAAACTTTAAAACAAGACATGGTACATACATTGTATGCTTTCCCCACATCATTCAAGAAAGGGATAAAAAGTTGATTGTGTAAAACTATATATCTTAACCTGTAACTTTATGTATAGACTTCAGAAATTGTCATTTGCTCTCTTACTTGAGCGGGATGTGCTTAGAAGGAAACATTCCTAATAAGTGAGAATTGTTCTATGGTGGAACCCAGCTGATGCCAAGGAGAGGCTTTAATTACACTGAAACTGAACAACATTTAGTGATTTTTTTTTAAGTGAAGGCATTTAAAATAAAATAAAAGAACTTGACGACGTGAACATTAAATCTTGCTAGTATTGTATAAACAAAAGTTGTCATACAATGAAATTCAGAGGAAAGCTTGTCATATTAACCTTAACTGTACTTGGATATTACACAGTCCTCCGCGTTGGTCAGAGAACAGTTGATGTTGCATACCTTGTGCGATTATGACAATACCATAGTTGGACACAAGATGGGCAGTAGTAAGCTTAAGTCTATTTAATCTGGCAAACATAAAATTCACTGTTTTAAACGTTGGGGTGGGAGAGGAATATAAACTGGCTTGCAAAGGGTTCCTATTTTGCATTAATTGTGGGTGTTAGGATTTGTGTTTGTTAGAATGAATACCTCTGGGTACGTTGCATGGTAAAGGTTCTCTTAGAAACATTAGCATTGTATTAATGTCTGCAAAATCCAAGACAGAAGGAAGAAGTCAGTAAGGCTTGGTCTATGCTAGCAACTTCTGTAAAACTGTGTTGCTCAGGGGTGTGGAAAATCTATATCCCTGAGCAGTGCAGTTATATCAACCTAACTTCCAGTGTAGACAGTGCTATGTCATTGGAAGGGTTTCGCCCTTCAACGTAACTACCACCTCTCAGGGAGGTGGAGTACCTATGACGCTGACAGGAGAAGCCTTCTTATTAGTGTAGGTAGTGTCTTCACTGAAGCGTTACAATGGCGCAGCTGCATCAGTGCATCTGTGCCACTGTAGGATTTTAAGTGTAGACATGCACTAAGATTGTAAAGATGTTAGCAAAAATATAAATAGTTTACATGCAAGCAGAAAAATGCACCTGCACCAACACAATAAGAATGCTGAAGGATAGTATTAATAGCACTCCTAGCACACTCCAAAAAGTTAGTGCTTGCAACACTTCTATAAAGTAGATGGTAATATATATTTGTGGTAGTACAAAGGTATAAATGGCTTGAGAGCTAGAACACAAACTCTTTTTTGCCTGGATGTTATATCAGACTCTTTGATGCTTTTCTCTAGTATTATTATTTTTAAAAATAGTTTCTTATACATGTAAGTATTTTTAAAATGAGGGATTTGTAATGGAAAAGCTGATGGAGCTAGAACTCTACTGTCACGAGTAGCACTTTAATTAGAAATAATATTTATTCTGATATTGTCTTCTATCTGTACAGCTGCTTACTGTCATGTATATTTTTAGGCCTATTGCTGCATTGCTCTATTTCTAATCTTCTTTTAAAGTTAAAGATGTAAATACTTGAGTTTGCCAGGCTCCTCTGTTTTATGGTCATGTTAAATATTTCAGTAATACCTAAAACTACCAGTGGAGGGTAGCAATAGTCAAACTTTTCTGGAGACTCGATTAGATAATTGTTCAGAAATTTAAAAGGTGCATTCTAATGCCCTATTTTTCTGTTACAGGTGCAGATATTTGGAAGTTTTAAAACTGGTTTATATCTACCTACTAGGTTAGTACCTTTTCAGTAACTTCTTCTACATTGTTTAGGCATGTTTTGAAGTCTCTTCCTCTGCTGTTTACCTTTATCCCCCATTGCTGTATGTTGAATTTTTGTGCACTGAGAGAGAATAATGTTCCTGGGGTGGAATATGCACTTGTCATCTTACTGTTTTCCTAACTATTGACTTATATCATGTGTTTTGTATCAATATATATATTCAAAGCTGACTTCTATACAGGCATTTGTATAGAGTACCTGTTTCAGTGATGTTTAAAAAAGACCGTATCTTAAAAGATTGCCTCATGTTTTAAAATGTCTGACTATCCCTTAAAACTGCTCAAGCCTGAAGGTAAATATTATACTTTTATTCAGCCCTCCCAATAAATACATTGTAAAAATATAAAGAATGATTGATGGATTATATGAAATAGGACACATCCCCCTGTTTAGATCCTGCTTGCATTAATTTAAAATGTGACCCCTTTGATCGTATTATCAAGTATAAATTTAGTTTTATAATTCAGTCTAATTACAAGATTAAATCAAAGTAAAATTTTAGATTTCTCCCACTTCACTGTGATTTTTTCCAGCATGTGATACCCTTTAAACCTGACATTTGAGGTCAAGTATTAAGCTATTTATATTAAAAGAGAAGCTGAATCCAGTTTCTAGAAGAAGAAATTAAAACATCAGCATATTACGTAGTCAGTTTGGTTGACATAAATAATTGTAGATGTCTTTGTTCACAAAGATAGGGGAATAAAGCCTTTTCAAGAATCCAGGCTGTTGCTGCCTTTTTTTTTTTTTTTTTTAAATTAAAGTATACAATGAGCCTAACAAAAGAGGAGGCTATTTTTTAGCTAACCACTTAAACCAAAAGAACTCTTAAAGCTATCAACACATACACCGGGGTCAGCAACCTTTCAGAAGTGGTGTGCTAAGTCTTCATTTATTCACTCTAATTTAAGGTTTTGTGTGCCAGTAATACATTTTAATGTTTATAAAAGGTGTCTTTCTGTAAGTCTATAACATATAATTAAACTATTGTTGTATGTAAAGTAAATAAGGTTTTTAAAATGTTTAAGAAGCTTCATTTAAAATTAAATTTAAAATGCAGAACCCCCCCCAGACTGGTGGCCAGGACCCGGGCAGTTTGAGTGCCACTGAAAATCAGCTCACGTGCCGCCTTTGGCACGCATGCCATAAGTTGCCTACCCCTGATATACACTAATCAGATGCTAAAGATAAAGTGTGTCTATTTAGTCCCACTCAAGCTTCTATCACTGAGAAGTCTTAAGTAGCTAACTGCAGACTTAGCTAAATACATTACTAATTTCCATCAAAAGAAAGTTCATCACAAGATCGCATTACGATCTTGAATGTAGGAATTTGAAATAATTTTGCCAATTAAAAATGTAAAATATAAGTAATCTTCAAGCCCTAATGGTTACAGGATAAATTCCTATAAGCAATTCAAAGACTGTAGTTTATACTTTAAAGACCTTTAAAAACATTTTTTCCCAGGGAACATTTCAGAATGAGTAATTAGTTGATTCCCAAACCTGACTACAATATTCTTCTCTGTTCACAATTATTATTTCTCATCTACTCTTAGGAGGAAAATGCTTAATAAAATTAGGAACCAAATTAAAGAAACTTCTTCATATAATTGGCTTTGACTTATGAAGCAACAAGAAAGAAATCAAACTGAGTTGCTAAATTTCTGACAAGTAGGCCTCTCAGAAGCACAGGTCCCCTGAGAAAACATGTTGCCTGCTTAAATTTGGCTTTGTTCTTTCTTCAGACAATTTGGATTAATCAAAAATAGATTAGGTGCTGATAATTCAAGAAATATATGCATCATTATTCACATGTCTAATAGACTTAATCCCCTTGCTGCTCCAGTCTTGATGCTTGGCATTTGTTCTGAGCCCTTCAGTGGTTCAGATTTTGATTACAATTTGTAAAGTTAGTTTTTATTCACTACCAAAACTCAATTGTGAGAATTTAATTGAAATCTTTCTGAACTCTTGATGCACTGGTCAGAGGCACTTCTGTCTTGCCGGCCTTTCTTCCCTGTTTGTTGTTGTTGCTCTGGAGCATGCCTACTTTGCTATTCAGAAGAATTCCAATGCTTGGAGTATTTGATTTAATAAAACAGAATTGAGGCCAGCATGGTACACTGTGCCTCTTCAGTCTACTTTGTTATTAGTCTCGAACATGAACACAATTTTCTCTTGTTTCTTTAATTTTTTTATTCATCTCTAGCTACACCGTTAGTCTAGATCTGAGGTTTTCCTGTTAAAACACCTTTTGCTGGCCTTTTTGATTCTGTTGTTCTAAAATAGAATCCCTTGACTATCCAATTACCTCAGTGCTGGGGACTAATTAGATAACGATTGTTCGTCTGATGGGGGTCAAGTAGTGTTATCCTTCAGGTAATATGTATTCTCAGGGTGTTACTATATTGCTCTCTCTGGCCTGGGGCACACTAGAAGCATTCTTTGCTGCTACCAAATCTGTTGAGCAATGAGTTGAGCACTGATTTAGCTGCAAGTGCAGATCAGAATAAAATAGTGCAGCACCATTTCAGAAGAGAAGGTTTTAACCGTAGTTTTCTGAAATGTGCTGAGTGGTGCTTGTTCCTGGTCAGCTAAACAGTATATAGTTGGACTGGTGTTTAAACCTGTCTGTTGTTAACACTGATTAGAATTTGTACACAGACAGCCAAAGTTCCTAATGTGGCTTCTGTAAAAGTACAAAATTCTAAAATCTGCATGAAAATAACTTCTGAAATAAGGTAGATTCTCCAGTATTTCTCTTCCCCCCGCCATAGTTTACTTTGGCAAGCCAGTTTATTGGTGAAGAATAATCTGTCTAGGCCTAAATCCTTCCCTCTTCACCCAAATCAGACTGGTCTAGTGCCTGATTTGGAAAGCAGACCTTAAACTACAAACCAAAAAAGAAGTTTGGAAAAATATATAGCTCAGCTTCTTCAAAGCCTCCAAAAAAAGTTTTCACTGTTTTTAAATTTTAAAGACTCTTTTGGACCCTAATAGGCACCTTTAAAATTTCTATTAGAACGCTCCTCAAGGCTGTGATTACCATTAGATGGATGCTATCCTCACTGATTTATGAAATCTGTTCTGTCTGAAGACACTGCTAGTTCATGCACATAAAGAAATAATTGTTTTTGTCTTGAAACTTGTAGTGTAATACTGGATAGTTAACAATCTGTTCTATCAGTTTGATCCACTACTTAATAAAAGACATTGCCACCTTGTCTCCGTTAACATATTTTAGGCATTTAAAAATGATTACTCTGATGTTGTGTATTAATTTTTATCTTCCTCCTGCTTAAGAGAATTCAGTGACCTGTTTTACTTATTTTACTTTCTATTGGCGTTTTTCCAATCCTATACTTTTAAATGCCTATCAAACCTAGTGTCAGTACATATATTAACTTACTATTTTTATGTTTTCTTGCATTTTCAGTGATATTGACTTAGTTGTGTTTGGAAAATGGGAGACTTTGCCTCTGTGGACCCTGGAAGAGGCTCTTAGAAAGCACAATGTAGCAGATGAAGGTTCAGTAAAGGTTCTAGACAAAGCAACTGTAAGTCTTTTTCCAGTTTAATATCTTCAGGTATACTTCTACTTTGTAAAATAGTATAATTTTACTCACACTTTGCTTTGTGATGGTCGGAATCAAATCTGCTTATTTAGTGACAATTTTATTACTCATAATGTGTCTTGTAATTTGTTTACTCTATGGACAGATTTGCTGCGATATTTGTGGATTTGTCTAAATTGCACTGCAAACCTGGGTTTGTGGACCCAACCTTGAGGAGTTGGTGTTTGAGCCTGATCTTAAGCTTCCATGCTGCATTGTAAACCTGGGCTTACAGTTACGAGACTCGGGTCTCACAGCCATACTAATGCATCCATATGTCACTATACAGACCTTCTGACTCTGACTGTGACTTGAGCTACATCCACACTGCAAAATGACAGAGCTTGGACCCCAAACCACAGCAAAACTTGGGCTCTGACCCATCCCCTTATCCGGGTCCTAGAACCTGGCTTCTGAGTGCTTGCTGGCCCAAGTCAGACTGATTTCTATGTGGATGTAAAGGGCACTTGGGCTCAAACCTGAGTGGGAGCCCAGAACTAGTGTGCAGTGTAAACCTACACTGTCTCTCTTTCCTCTTCTCATTAAGAATGTTTGCATGAAATCAGGGATCTTTAATTGTGCATTTGTAGCCCTCTGGTGTTTGCTTCTCACAAGAAATTATACTGTTTTGACTTCACAACTACCGTATATACTTGTTCATAAGGCGAATTTTTTAGTAAAAAAGGGAAGCACCTAGGGTGACCAGACGTCCCGATTTTATCGGGACTGTCCCGATATTTCCTTGTTTGTCCCGCGTCCC